AACTGTTCCCCTTAGCAGTGTGTTTCAGTTACTCTGCCTGTTCTGCTCCCCACTCTGTCTCTGGTGAATCCCTTCACCGCCCACACCTCTGGCATATACCCCAGTTCTTCTACACAAAAATAAATAAAAACTAAAAGAGTGTTTTTTTTTTTAAAGATCACAAACAGCTGTTTAATATTTCTGAACCTTTTGCAGCATCTCTTCTCTCAGAACATACTTTGCCACTTCTCTTAGCTTACTACTTAAGATTCTACTTAGCTAGCATGTCCTCTGGAAAGTCATCCCTGGCTTTCTGGGGCCCCTTGGATTGGGTTTGGCTCTTCCTGTATGTCCTCCTAGTATGCTTTACTTACTGGTCCTGATGCATTCTACTTAAATCATTCAGTTTAGTTCCTTGAGCCTTAAGAATGCCAGGCCAGCACTGAGACGATATCCTTTTCTTCATGTACTCAGTGGTCAGCACAAGGGCTGGGCATGGAATCAGCCTCAAAATATGTTAAACTCAAATGAAATAAGTCAGATTAAGTCTCGATCAGTAGCCTTTGAGCCTTTTTTTTTTTTTTAAAGCTAATGTTTACAGAAGCTTTGGTAGATTTAGGTAAATGTGTGTATATATAACATATCTTTATGGGGTGCTCAAATTTTGCAGAGGCTTTCAAAAGGAACTCTTTGTATATCCTGCAATCACAGAGAATTAAAAAAAATGAAGGCAGTAGCAATGGCATCAGTTAATTTTATACCCTTGTCACAAGTTTGTTATTCTAAGGAAATGCAACATGTCATCAGTAAGAGTTTCATGCTATTTCATTGTAATTTTATTGAACATAATGACATCACAACTAATGAACCTGTCATGTAGTGACTAAATATTGTTCAACAAAATTGTATATTCATAAATGTAGGCAAAGTGTATGCCTTTTGGTATGACTAGTTTCCTTATTAAAAAAAAGAACAAGCTGTAAAAAAAGAGAATAATGCCTTAAGAGTTGCTATTTATTTTTGGGTAAATGGGTAAAACAGAGCTATTATTTTTATTCTGTAAACACAATCATTCTTAGTGGATGAATAGGTAATGCTTTTACCTGGCATCTCATAAAGTTCTGAATTCTGTATTTTGTCATTTTTTATGGCTTGTTGCAGCCATATGATTACAGTATGGTTTAACTTTGGATTATTCATGTGTAGCAAAAGTGAAAGGTATCCAGAGCCTGATTCCTGACTGAAAGCTGCCTCTTTGTCACCTCTCCCAAGGTACCAGGCCTGGACAAAGTCCTTCCCTTCTTTGTGTTCATTTTCAAGCTAATAAGTATAAAATCCCTGAGAATCTTGTTTAAATACAATGTTATTGAGCATAATGATGCCAGAGCTAACAAATTTACCATTTAGTGACTAAATACCATATAGCAAAACTTTCATCTCCATAAATGTATGACTTCACCTTTTTTTTTTTTAAGATTTATTTATTTTTATACAAGAGCTGGGGTACAGGCCAGAGGTGCGGGGGCTGAGAGTATTCACCAGAGACAGAGTGGGGAACAGAACAGGCAGACAGACTGAAAGCACTGCTGAGGGGAGCAGTGGGTGAGACAGGAGAGGTCTGCCATGCCACCTGGGTTTCTCTCTGGCTGGCCAGAAATTGAACCCATGCTGCAGAGGCTGCAGACAGCTTCACAGCGCTGTGCTCAACCCCCTGTGCCACTGGGGAGGCCCTGATTTTACCTTTTATCCTAATGGAATGTAAGATTATCTGTTTGGTCAAAATCAGTGTATTTTTTTTTTAAAGATTTATTTATTTATGCATACAAGAGCTGGGGTACAGGCCAGAGATGTGGGGGGTGAGAGGACTCAGCACAGACAGAGTGGGAAAAGAACAGGCAGACTGACTGGAATACACTGCTGAGGCGAGTCAGGAGAGAGGTCCTGTTGTGCCATGTAGGTTGTTCCCTGGGGATCGAACTCATGTTGCTCAGCGGATTGCTTCATAGTTCAGTGCTTAACCCTTTGTGCCACCATGGAGGCCCCAAAATCAGTGTATCTTAAGCACTTAATACACCTACTACAAAGAAGGTGTTCAAAAAATATTCATTAAAATGATGAGTAAATGGGGCCTCCCCTGGTGGCACAGTGGTTGAGCGCTGGACTGTGAAGCTGCCTGCAGCCTCTGCAGTGCCAGTTTGATCCCTGGCCACTGGAGGGTCCCACATGGTGCGACAGACCTCTCCTGCCACTCCCACTGCTCCCCTTAGCAGTGTGTTTCATCAGTCTGCCTGTTCTGCTCCCTCCTCTGGCTCTGGTGAATTCTCTCACCCTCCCACGCTTCTGACTGTACCCAGTGCTTGTATAAATAAATAAATAAATAAATAAACAAATAAATAAATAAATATTTAAAAAATAAAAAAAAGATGAGTAAATGTACCTCTGGTTGCCTTGAACTTCTCCCTGTCAAGACAGAGCCATGTAAGAATTTCCAGGGCACTGAAAATATGTTCTATCTCCCAGTTTTAAACTAAAGGCTTATTTCTGTTAATGTCAGGTTTCAGTCAGGCAGGAGGTATATTATTGAGGCATGGACCCTTCTTGGACCCCTGAAATTGTAGCAGGGTGGTCTGTAGAAAAAGGGGAAGTTGCAGGGGTGCCCCTGTCCCTGTCCTTAACAAAATCACGGTCAAGATCAGTTCTATTATCCATTTCCACAAGAGAGTGCCTAGAAACCCCATGGTATGTGTGTGTGTGTGTTTCAGTGTCCTCAGAGAGGTCTTGGGGAAAGATATTTTTTAGTCTTCTTTCCCACTGCCCATAGAGTTCACCTCACAATATGTATTCGTATTTTAAAAGTAGAGTGTTACAGAACTTCAGCCAAGGACATTGCTGCGCATGTGAGGGGTGTGCTTTCTAGAAAGGTCTGCAGCAGTGAAGACAGTGCTAAGGCTGGCTGGCTGGTCACTGTCTGAGTTCTCACTGTGTGCTCATGGTTGCAAAATACCACTCACATCCAGGGTACAGCAATGGGGTTTACTAACAATTGGGAGACTGGCAAAAGGAGAGTCTCACAAATGGCCAACTCTTTCACCCCAGATAGTGTCTGCAGTGTTCAGTACCCCAAAGAAAGGCCGCTCATTCAAAATGGCACTGTCCCTTCCAACTGGAGCCTGGTGCTGTGGTGTGCTGGCAAGTGGTGGGCCAAGATTCAACTCAGGGGCTGCCAGAGGTGTGGTGCTGTTAAGGGGGCACCCCAGCTGCCAGCAAAATCTATTTGAAGTTTGGGCTGGCCCGTGCCAGACACTGAGCCCCAAAGTGCAGAGGATGGGAAGTGGTGCTGGAGGATGGGAAGTGGCAGCCAGCTCTCAGAGGTAGCCGGACACAGGTCAGCAGTGCTGACGGTGCCAGAGGACAGACACTAGTATTAACAGCCCTTTGTGAGCTAACAGCTTAACAGCTAACAGAGATGCTGGGCCTAAGAAAATGGGCACAGACTAATGGTACCAGTCAGCAGGTGATGTCAGGGGCAGGTGCAGAGGCAGGAGCAATGAGTGGTTAGGCTGCAGTTCGAAGCAGAGATTAAATGCGGAGGTACCAGAGGTCCGCAAAGTTCTTCCCCAGAGGTCATGACCAGTCTTCCTGATGAGTCTGTCTCAGTGTAAATCCCAAGGTCTGAATCAGAAGGTCTGAATGAGTCCTAATTCTCTGGAACCTCAGCTTACCTCAGTCCTAATTCTCTGGAACCTCTGCCTGTCAAACCTGATTGGCCTGCTTACCCTCTTGAGTGTTTGGTGCTGGCTTAGCACCAGCTTGGCCCATTTTCATCTCCATTGTCATAGCAGAAGGGAAACCCTGGTCTCTGCTTCCAGATCTGACCTGTGGTGAGGTCTGGTCAGGCTCTTTGGCTGTGCACTCAGCGAAGTCATGGCCAGCCAGGGCCAGATGCTGGTCCCTGAGCTAGGCTGATGTCACCGGAGCTGGGCCTGGCTACAGCCTGCACATGCCAGTGGCCCTCCAACTCATCGACTCCCCAAGGTACCAGTGGTCCCTTCTCTGGGACAAAGTTTTCAGTCAGATTGATAGATAAGAAATAGTTTGGAACCCATAGTAATAATATTAATATTTTAGTATTGTCACTATTTTATCAAGATTTTCTCTTGCATTGTATGTGACACTGAGCAGTAAACTGAATTTTTAAAGTGTGACTACACTGTTGAAAAATCAAATTAGCTCAATAATTCTCCTTATGGATAAATTTTGTTAGCATATGCCTATTCCTCTAAATTGAAAGCCTGCTGGTACCAATGAATGATCCTTATAAATATGGTCTAATTTAGGGCCTCCCTGGTGGTGCAAGGGGTTAAGTTTCAGCACAATGAAGCTATGGGCAGCCACTGCAGCATGAGTTCGATCCCTGGCCAGGGAGCTAATTCACATGGCACAGCAGACCTCCTGTTTTACCCACTGCTCCCCTCAGCAGTGTATTTTAGTCAATCCACCTGTTCTGCTCCCCACTCTGTCTCTGGTGAATCCTCTCACCTCCACACCCCACAACCTCTGGCTTACAGTGCAGGTTTTGTATGCATAAATAAATAAAATAAATCATAAAAATTGTTCTAATTTATTTATAGATCTATAGGAAATTTTTGGTGAGTTGGAGACTCAAACTATATTCTTGTCTACTGATTACCTAAGTGCTAAGGGAATATGGCTATTGCATTTGTTTTCTTTGTGTGCTCCTTTTTCTAAAACACACTAGAATCTAAAAAAAAAAAAATCATCAGCAAATATTTCACAATCCTTGAACTTCTGTATCTCAATGTCCAATTCAAGGATTTCAAGCCAAACCTAGATAGTTAAAATTCATCTTGCAATTGTGATATGTTCTTCATCTTGGCTTCATGAATTTAATCTATGGAACTCCTCAAAGCTTTTTGGTCAGAATTGTCCTCAGTGTTTACAGTGTTGTGCTGATGAATCTGTTTGAGGTATAATTCAATAGAATTTATTTTCTCTTTCAGTTCTATCGGGAGGTCCGCTGCCTCAAGGGCATGAATTTGAACTGTACGAAGTTAGATTTCATTGGGGAAGAGAAAACCAGCGTGGCTCTGAGCACACGGTTAATTTCAAAGCTTTCCCCATGGAGGTAAGAATAACCAAGCCTCTCCACACTGGTTGTGGTTGTGAAGTACTCAGTGATTTATTGAAAATGGTTTAATTTGTAAGTATAGATGTATAGCTCTTGAATTTTATCAACATATATTGAAACAAAAATTGCTGAATGAAAGCTAAGCTTGTGGCAGCAAATGGGAACTTCCCATGGACTTTAATGAGTTTGGAGAATGAACATGGGCTCTTGGCCATGAAGTTAATCTGCTGTTATGTTTCATCTAGTATTATTACTTTTGTAAAAATTCTGCTGCCGCTTCAGATTCAGTAGCTTATTTTCATAGATGCTATGACTAGATGACAAACTGAAAACAACTTTTGGAGAAACCTCAAAAGTCATTAAAAGTCTAGTTTAGCACTGATTAAAATTGGTAGGTTGGTTTTATTCACCCCAAGCAACTAGAGAGGGCTCAATTTTAATAGTAGTTTTAAAGAAAGAGAGCTTTCTTTAAAAAAAGAGAGCTCTCTAGAGCCATTCTTTTGTCCAAAGAATTTCCTCCCTTTTTAGTCAAGTCCTATTCTTTCATCAATATCTAGTTGACATATCGTTTCTTCCATGGGGCTCTTTCTGAGTCCCTTCCCTAAAAAGAATTACTTTCTCCCTCTCTGTGCTGCCAGTGTACTTGGTAGTTTGCTGTCATGATGTTGCTCTTATGGTTTCTAACCTTCTAAGTGAGAAGCATCTAAGGTGTCTTAGATGAAATTTTATTCCTCAATGTGATGTGTTAGGAGGTGGGGCCTTTGGGAAGGTCATTAGGGTTAGGTGAGGTCATGAAAGTGAAGTCCTCATAAATGGAATTAGTGCCTTTCCAGGAGTCCAGAGAGCACTTCCTTCTTGCTTCCTTCTGCTGTTGCCATGTGAGGATACAAGGTGATGCATCTGCAAGCCAGAAAGTGGCTGTCACCAACGATAGATCTGCTTGCACCGTGATCTTGGACTTCCTAGCCTCTAGAATTGTAAAAAGTAAATGCTTGTTGTTTAAGTCTCCTGGTCTATGGGAATTTGTTACAGTAGCTTGAGCAGCTCAGCCATCTCCTGAAGACAGAATCTTCTCTGAGAGAGCAGCAGTTATGAGGGTGGAGTTGAGGAGCTGTCCTGTTAAGTCAGGCTTTGTTTATATGTCCTTGTATAAGGAACAACAGGTGCAAATAGTCTGGTAGTTGCATGTAACAATGTTTTGGGAGCTGCTAGAATTCCAGTCTTCTTTCTTTGTCATTTCCAACTGCACATTTAATTAATTATGAAATTGCTCGTGGCCAGATGCCATGTCTAGTTCCACTTCAGTGACTTGAAATCACTATAATTTACATAAATTATGTGTATGGTTTAAAGAATGAAGTTAGAGGAAGTAGTTCTCAACACTATTTTAATTATAATTATAAAAAATACCCATTTGGGGAACTCTGTGGTGCAAGGGGTTAAGCACAGCACTGTGAAGCTATCTGCAGCTCTGCAGCACGAGTTCGATCCCCGGCCTGCCAGGGAACTGACACACATGGTGCAGCAGACCTCTCCTGCCTCGCCTGCTGCTCCCCTCAGCAGTGTATTTCAGTCAATCTGCCTGTTCTGCTCTCCACTTTGTCTCTGTTGAATCCTCTCACCCCCTGCACCTCTGGCTTGTATCTCAGTTCTTGCATGCATAAATAAATAAATCTTAAAAAAAAAAAAACATTTGGAAGTCAAAAATATTCCTTTCATTAAAAAAGACTGCTTCTTTAAGGTCCTGATGGTTGGGTCTTCAAACATTACCTTTCTGGGGGTTTCTCCCTCAGTGCCTGCAGACATCCTCTCACTTCCACTACCTTGAAACTATTTTGCCCTGTGCCTGTGTCACCTCTAGTTACTGCCCTGTCCTCACCCAACATGAAAAAGAAAAGTTCACACTAAAACACATTAAAACAAGCCAAACCATTTAAACCCAGTAGGTGAAGGAGGGCAGAATGAGGGGCAGGAAAAACACTGGATGGTCAGGACCTCCTCCATCCCCTCTTTCTGGCTTTGAAAGATCATTTCATTATTTTGTCTCAACCAGTGCTTAAAAGCACATTCTAATTCTAAAAAAAATTTAGGGAGAAATGGGAATATTTGTGTAGGCAACAACTTCTCGACGGGGATTCATGACTTTGCTTGTGACACAGAATTTGCAGCCTTGGGAAGGTTAAACTAGATTATGTGAGTTGGTGAGGTGTGTTCTTTGCTCTGCAGCTGAACTGAATTTCCGGACCAAATGTTTAGATTGGTCCTGCTACTTGATGGTTTAACTGCTCCAGTCCATTAAGCACAGGTAATGGTTTGATTTGAATGAAGATTAAATTCTGGTTGTGAGTCTTTGTTGCTGCAGAAATGTTTATATTTAGGGTAATGGAATTACTGACTGTAATTTTTCCAAAATAGGTGATGAATAATATTTATGTTCTTTGCTATCCCAGATCCAATCCTAGAGAAAATACTTGAATTAGACATCTGATGTTTATTTAGTACTATTGAGTGCATAATTACTCTGGCTAGGCAGAATTAGAGGGAGATACTTGCAAACTCGGATTTTTTATTTTACTTTATTTATTTTCTTTATTTTTTTAAAGATTTATTTATTTATGCATAGAAGAATGGGGGATTCACCAGAGATAGAGTGGGGAACAGAACAGGCTGATTGACTGAAATACACTGCTGAGGGGAGCAGCGGGAGAGTCAGGAGAGGTCTGCTTCACTATGTGGGTAACTCCCTGGCCAGGGATCGAACTTGTGCTGCAGTGGCTGCAGATAGCTTCATAGATTGCGTCTTAATCCCTTGCGCCTCTAGGGAGGCCCTAGGATTTTTTATTTTTAATGGAGGTTGTGAATATTGATCTGGGTCTTATGGAGGAGAGGGTACACACATGTTGTGAAGAGAGGAGTGGGGACTTCATGTAGAATAGTACAAGAGCTAGATTGAAATGGCTAATTCAGAGATAGATGGATTACTTGCCACTGATCCCTGGTCCTGAGCTGACCTTAAGGGCCTCCTGGAACACAAGGGCATCCCAGCAGAACAGCTGAGAGTGAGGAGACCAGATGCCCCTTTGGGTATGCAATTTAAAATCTTTTTTTTTTTTTTTTGAGAACATGTTCCATATTTTACTTACATTTTTCAGACTAATTTTAATCTTGAAATCACATATACATTTGTATTTCCATTATGTTGATTTCACTTAAATTTTAATGTGGCCTGTTAAATAAACATTGTAAACAAATATTTACCATGTCTCTTATCTGTAACACATAGTATGGACTTCTAATGGAAATTCATCAACCTCCCTTTTTGACTTTTTAAAATAATGTAAAGAAAAAACACTCAAATATATTTGCTATTACTAAGAGCCAGCATCCACATTGCTTAAAAAATTGACACATTTTGTAACTCAACAATTCAAACTGCTGCTCTCCACTCTTTGAATAAGCAAGATGAATAAAGCATGTCATTTCTGTTCTCCCATCTTTAGCTTTTAGTTTTCAGAAACGTATAGGCTTCCACTGTTCTCTGACACTTCTACCCTTGCTTCCATCTGGTAACCCTGGATTTTATCATGAATCCTCCAGGGCTATGCTTAAATGACAGTGCCTTAACAAAAGAAAAACAATGGTGTGTATTTCCGTTCCTGTTAACTGACAACAACATGGGTGTGCTTATATTACTATATACTTAGAAATGTGGGTCAAGTCTACTGCTGGAATTCTTTTACTTAATGTGTGGATATTTTTCATTGTGATATTTAATCGAGACAACAACATGAGTAGAAGTTAGTTGATTTAGAAGAAGCTGGAGATTAGAATTCATTTCTGTAGGCTTGTCCTTCTGGTGGCTGTGCAAGCTTCATATATTTTCTTTGGACTCATTAGCCATCTGAGCTCTTGACGTCCAATTTTAATGCTCTGTGAATTTTGCTGTCTTACTTACTCTGGTATGCTCCGTACATCTGTCATTCCACTAGAATTATTTATCCCATTCATGTTAGTTTTTGTTACAAATCTATTATCATTGATGGAGGAACTTCTAGATAGATATTTAAGTTCACATTCACCTTTCAGACTATATATTCCATTTTCATAATTTGTGGAATACATCATCTTTGCTTTTTCAACTGTGGTCTCTATGGCCCTTGGCGGTTAATCTTTACACATGAATCACTACTTTTGTAGTTCATTGGGAGAGTACCTCCTGGGTGCTTAACTTTGATACTAGATCAGTGAAATTAAAAAAAAGTTTTGGGGTAGAAGACCACCAGCATGACCAAGTTTTATCTTTTCCAAATAAAGACATTTCTAATTCTCTGTTCTCCCCATTTTGGGATCTTTAATGACCAAATGTTGGAAGGATATGGTCTCAGAATAAAGCACCAGCCTATAATTGAATAGATTTAGCTTTTAAAAAGTTACATTATTTCCCTTTTTCTCATTTCGCTACAGGTGGATGGTAGCATCTTAGAAATGGGCACAGACCCTGCCCTCAGACCACCAGGAGATCATGTATGGTGGCCTGATTTTTTTTTGCCATTTGGGCCTCATAGTTGATTTGAAAGTGAATTATCAAGGGAGAGCCATAGTCACATTGTAGGAAAGACTTTTATCTTACTTCATATTGTATTTATACAATATAAATTATATTTGAAGAGCAGCTATTGCTCTGTGTACTCTGAGCTATGGCTCAGTGATAATTGAGCTACATACCAGCTGTTTATGGAAAGTTGAGTGCATTAGGTAAATAGAAAAAAAGTGAGTTTTATTGTGGAGAGTGGGATTATTCAATTGTGAAGACCTCAGGCCTACATTACAAAATTGGCCAACCAAAATATTATGAAGAATGGTTGTCATAGCATCAATCCCAAACAGTACATTTCCTTCTCCCCACAAATATACTGGTTCACCAGAGAGCCTGTATGCCTTTATTTTTTGCAGGCAGATAATGGGGTCTAACATTTAAGTACTCTCAGAAAAAAGTG